AACCAAGTAGATTAATAGGGAGAATTTGAGGACCCACATTACCTAGGGCCATCAGCTCTTACATAAGTAGGTGTTGACACTTGCTGATTTACTATTATATATTACAAAGCATAGAGGACAGTGCCATTTGGCAGCTGAAACTAGAGGGTCTTGAAGAATTGACTATCTTGTTAGCCTTTGGTGCTTAGAATTTGCAACTCACAATTCATTTGAAGTACAGTGGGCATTTAGGAGCCCAGCAAAATCCTGTACTGCATCCATGTCTGTCTGGTGAGATGGACACCAAAGGCCAATTTACATAAAGGGTCTTAGAATCCCTTGGCTAAGAACCCATTGCAGGAGAAGAAAGAAATAGGGAGATAAATTTAACACACAACTAAAACTCTCATATCATAATGAAATAGTGATTTACTGATTCAATCAATCATTGCTTATTGGACATCTATCAGCTTCTGAGTGTAGCAAGCTGCCTATTGCCTGGATTTGTCTTCTGCTACAGTCTGGTGCTATTATGAGTGGATTCTGACTACTTACATGGAGTGAGCTGCTTCGTTGAATCTTCTTTGGATGGCTGTGTTATTAGAAGGGAACATAAACAGGGAAAGATGGGTTTGTAGGTTCTCTACCCCCTGTGTGTGCACATGAGCACCTATTCTTCCCTTTGTAGTATCTCTTTGGACATTAGGAAGCTGGTGTTTCAACTGAGCTGACAAGCTTTCAGGGGCTTCTGGGAATGTTTTGGGAGTATATTACAAGGGCACATTGTGGTTTTCAACCAGTCAAAGAGAGTAAAATATAATTAATGTAAATAAAGAATTTTATTGCATATTTTACTATTTTAAAAGTGAAAAGACAATTGGAAAGACTAATGTAATTTTTGAGGATAGCCACAAAGTAAGCAATAATATGACCTTTAATAAATTCAATCCAAAATAATGGCTTGTGTGGTTGAATTGGCTTGGTAGGTTGCAGGTATAGGCACGGATATTATCAATGACTATGTGTTTAGTTCTCCCCACTGAAACTGTGAGCCCTCATTTCAAGTACTTTTAGATCTTCGGTTAGAGTTCCCAAGGCCATTCTAGCATCCCACAGGGAGCTACCAATTCATCCCTTGCTCTCAGAATTTAAAATTGTAAGTTTGTGCCCTTAATAGTTAATACCATTTTAACATTCATGACGGAGGCCCAAACATGAAAAATAGAGACAATCATGGAAAACACATTCACCAGATCTAAGTCTATCAACACACACTCAGTAGATCTAAGTCTATTAACACACACTCACTAGATCTAAGTCTATTAACACACGTTCACTAGATCTAAGGTCACACATGATTATGAGGGATTTGAGTCAACAACACTAACTGGATCAAAGCGCCTTAGGTACCTCTTCATTCACTGTGCCTAGGGAGAACTCTTAGGCTTGAGTCACGAGTGGCTTTGTGTGGGTGGCGAACGGACTTGGGATTTGAAGATGTCCATCTTCAGGTTTGGGCACCTCCTGCTTTCTCTCTCTCTACCTTGGGTTCATTGGACAACTATAATAGAAATTCCTTGGGTTCCAAATGCTGATCCAACGTTAAGACCCATCGTAAATGTTGCCACTGCTAAACTCCTGTTCTAATTCCTGCCAAAATTGTCTGATAAAGCCTGATAAAGCCTCTGGGAGGGATGCAAGGTGTTCATAATGGAAAAGCAGTAGCTCATTAAAGAGAGCCCTCGTGACCATAATGAGCTGTGCAGTTTTCACCTGCCACCTGTCTGGTGGCAACGGGACCCCTTCCCCCAAACAGGGCCTTCTAGTCTACGGTGGAAGTGTGCCATTAAGTCATATGTCCTTTATTTCTCTCCTGGTATCGTCGGTTCTGCCATGATTGCTTTTTTAGTGAAGTGAAGCCTCTCCTCCCCAGGTTCTGCCATCTGAGGTCTCAGCTTTGAAAGCTTCGAGTCACCTCATTTTTAAAAACGCAGCAACTGCAAATAGCAACGCTGTTGGTTTCCTAAACTTGGTGAGATAAAACTAAAAGCATACAGGTTGGCTTAAGTCAAATGGAATCTTAGAATAAAATCTGATTATTTCACATACAGCATTTTAAACCTCCCTTAGGAAGAAAAGTCTGTTTGCTTGTTTGCTTTATTTCCAGATCAAGCACAGCATGCCAGATGCAACTGATAATTGAATTTATAATCAGATGTTATAAATGTACTAAGACTAAATGTCTAATATTCTCATTGAACAAATAGTAAGGATTTGAGGGGACGGATAGGTTAATTAGCTTAATTTGATCATTTTACATGGGACTACAAAACCATTACATCATTTTGTATGTCCTAAGTATAACTGACCCAAATTTGCCAATATATAATGAGAAATAAATAAAAAAACAAAATACATAAAGGAACATATAATGAAATACATAATGGTACTGGGACATTTCAATTCATTAGCTGAGCTGAGTCTTAAAAATGATAGTGCTCCCCACAGGGCATAATTCAATAGTTGTTGGTGTGGGTCCCTATTACCTGTCTTGTATTACCTGTGTGAGATTAATACTAGTCCAGTGAGTATGTCCTGGAATGTAAGGTTCAGAGAGCTTGCTCTGATGGTCAGCACAGAGTTGAGACACATGGAAGAACGAAGCAGGTGTTTTTATTGGCTTCCTTCCTGCACAGGAGAAGTGACTGACACTTAGAGCTCTGACTTGTCTTCCAGAGGCATCGTGCAGTGAGGACCTGCTGGCCAGCCCGCTTCCGTCCGGCCAGTGTCTTGTTAACTCAGACAGAAGAGATGATGGCCAAAGCCGTGGCTGGAGAGACGATCCACACTGATATTGGAAAAGAAAGGACTATTTGTTTATGAAAGAAATTACTGAGATTGGCTGGTTCTCAATGCACCCCTAGTGTTCAGCAGAGCCCTCTCCAACATGTCCTCCCTGCTAAGCAACTGTGGCTGCAGAGGAACCATTGCTGATGGAGTAACTCTCTCTGCCCTTTCCTGAATGGTGTTTAGGCCAACATTTAAGAGCCCCTGACGTGCCCGAGGCACCCAATTTAGTGTTACCTTCCCCAGGTGGTGATGTGGCCATCTGTTCTTTGTTTACGGCAATGCTGTATGTTTGATCTCATCTGGGAGATTAAGATACTTTCCTGTCAAAGAGAGTTCTGAAGCCTTGCTTGTATCTGTACAGCACCAGCAGCTCTCAGGACAGAGATCACACATGTGTTCTCCATATTAACCATATTATTTTATTTTATTTGTGGGTCTGACTATGATTAGAGACTCCAAGAGAACCATGATTCTTCTGTATTGATTCTCTTCTCTCTGACACAGTAGCATGTGAATTCTAGTCAGAGCAGAGCAGCCTGGAGTTCTCTGAGGTGGCTGTTCTGTGAATTCCAGAAGGCTGATGTTTGCAAAGAGTTCTCAACCTCCCTTTTTAAGTATACTTTCACTTGGGTTTGGAAATCTAAGGGTGTCAGTGCACGTTTCCTCTAAGGGACACAGATTCCATACTGGAGGCCAGAAGGGGCCACACCATTGGCAACACACACAGGCACACATGCACACAGGCACACATACACACACGGGCACACACACAGCTTCCATGCTGGAGAACAACAGCGCATACCCTCACAAGTGAGTGCGTGCGCGCACACACACATGTTGGGGAATATCATTTTCAGGTGTGTGACTTTTGTTTATGTTGCATTTGTTTAATGCCGTGAAGCTGTGGTACTGGCTTGTTTAAAATACCTGGTGATCCTAATAAAGAACTTAACAGCCAATAGTGAGTCAGGAGCAAGGATGGATAAAGCATCAGACAGAGAATAAATGGAAGGAGAAAACAAGGACAGGAGCATGGAGAGAACAAGAAGAGGGGATGTCAGGGGCCACCCACGCAGCCACGCAGCCACGCAGCCACCCCGCCACCCGGCCACCTGGCCAGCCATACAGTAAGAAGGAAAGTAAGATACACAGAAGATAAAAGCCCAGAGGGAAAAGGCAGATGGGTTAATTTAAATTAAAAAAAAGCTAGTGGCCAACAAACTAAGTTAAGGCTGGGCATTTATAACTAAGAATAAGCCTCCATGTGTGATTTATTTTGGAACTGGGTGGCAGGCCCTTCAAAAGCAAAACAACAGCAACAACAAAATCCCAGAACCACACACACACACACACACACACACACACACACACACACACAGGGCTTTCATGCTAGGGGCCAGGAGAGGGCGCATACAGTAAAAGAAGTTTTTAAGAAAAGTTGCACATAGTGTAATTTTAATCCATTCCATTTTAAATACCACAATAAATTTCATTTTCACAATAAATTAAATAGCCATATTCAGTTTACAAAATAGAATTACTTAGTGTGAAACTGGTATTTACATCATTTACAGTATGTACAGGACATCTCTTTGTTGACACACGCGTGGAAGTAAAAGGACTTGGCTCTCCAGCTCGTGATTGACATGCTACAAATGACACCATGGTCCATACAAGGAAACGATAGTGCAAAGTCACCACAGGAACTTTGGAACAATGTCAATTTGATGAGATAAGACATTCCTTTAAATAATAAGAAAATAGCATATTTCATGACTATTTTCATGACGCCAATCCAGTATCTGAATTAAAGAGCTAGCTTCACCTTAGGACAAAAAAAAAAAAAAAAAAAAAAAAAGCAAATCAAAAATGAAAAACCATAAAACTGAATCCTCTACTTCCTGAAGCTTCGTAGCCATTGGTATATTTTCACACATTCATCTTTTGGCTTAAATCCACGGAAATGGCAGGTGACAAGTTCCGAATCAAAGGAAGACTGACTCCGGAGAACATCTGACGTCACTTCCCCCCAGTCCCACCACCTCTCCTTTCGTAAGCAGCTTAAAAGATGCAACTACGCAGGCAGCAACTTAGTGTTCATAAATTTTCAGCAGAAAGAGAACTGATCTTATATTTGGCCACACACTGCACGTGTACGAGTATCCATGGAAAAATGAATCGGGTAGCTGTGTCTTGGGAAAGTGCATATTTTAATCTAGAGGAGACACCATGTGTCTCAGCACACAACACACGGTGTTGCATGGTGTATTATTTTAGGGCCAGTTCAATGTCCTCCCAGTGATCTGGTAAAACTTTTGATTAAAGGGATGAAAGAATTTGCGCAATTTGGTAATGACGGAGGGGTCTACCTCTGGATGGATGCGCCCCTTGCTGCCCGCCAGGCACTTATTAAAGATAATGTTAAATCGCAAACAGTAAAACCCTCTGGTAGCATTGAAATATAAATTATACTGACTTATCCTCGGGGGAAGGTTTAAGAACTTCTCTACGAGCTGTAGTTCTGGCAGAGGCTCGGTGATGAGACGGTCTCCATCCACAATGTGGAATTGCTCAATTGGAAAGTACTTTAGCCAGCGTTCCAGGTGCTTTGTGTAGATGCTGGTCCTAACTGCCTTGTATTTTGTGTTCACCTCACAGGTGTTAGGGTCTATGGCTAGCTTCTCGAACTTATAGTAGGTTTTGTTCTTCCTCTCCTTCCCCTCTAGCACCTGAGTGTAATCAGAAATCGCTCGTGTGGTCGGCTCCCTGACAATGATCAACAGCTTAATGGATGAGTTCATTTTGTAAATCCTTTCTGGAACCTCTTCTGTAATGAAATAGGCTGGGCTCTTTTCAATTGTGATTTGCTGAGGGTAGGAAAAAGGCATCTTTTTCCTGTACCACTCAATGCCCTTGGCATAGTTCTCATCATTGTCAAAGAAGTGGATCTCTTGAGAAGCTTTGACCACTGCAGGATGGAGGTTCAACATCTCTAGCAGGGCTCTGGTGCCCCCTTTCCGCACCCCGATGATAATGGCTTTGGGGAGCTGCTGGACCAGGTCATGGAGGCGAACCTGCTCCTTGGAAGAGTTGCCCTTCCGGAATTCATGCAGCAGACCTCTCTTAAACTGCAGGGCTCGGAGTGGGAACTCAGCCTGACTGTGGGTGCCTCCAAATCGGCTTTCAACAGGGCAAATGGGCTGGAGCCTGCAAGCCAAAGAGATACTGTGAGAAACTCATCACTACCAAGTTTATCATTGTTCTGCATCTGCACCCAGACTCAGATTATACATGCATAAATAAAGCCACTGGGTCCCTGGCTGCTGCAATCCATAATGAACATATGTTTGGGAAATTTTATGTTAAGCAACCCCTATTCAGTGGAGCACACATAATTGATGGGATTTTTTTATTAGTGCTCCTTAAAATTTTTATTCACCAAGCACTTAATTGACTACGGCTTGTACTTATGCTCACAGTACAGGATAGACAAGTGACACCAGCCATACTAATAACTTTTCAACAGCTCACCAGTTAAAATCATTTAGAAAATTTGGGAGGCAGAAGATTATAATCTTCAGCTAGGATGCTGAAGGGCAAAAAGGAGAACATTTAGTTCAGGCATTGTGGAGTATTGCTCCTTCCTCTTTTTTTTTTTTTACTTTCTTCCTTTCTTCATTTTTTTCATTTATTCTTTCTCTCTCTCCTTTGGTAGCCTAACATCATGCACATGGCTCTTTAACATCCTTGAGATATATTCTGAGAGGTGTCTCCTATCCCTGCCCTTGGCTCTGTGCATCTTCATCATGCAGAACTCCATAGCAAGAGCCAGGGAGGATGGACAACTATTTATGTTTTTCTGAGAGAGAACAATATGGTATAGTGACAATGATATTAGAACAAAATGATTACTTTAGCATAGCCTCTGTATATGGTTAGAAAATTGTGTTTGTCTTTATACACAATTTGATGATAAACTGAAAATTCACTATAATTAATGAGTCAACTAGGTTGATCTAGGGAGTCTTTTAAGGCTTCTTGGTTAAAGGGGAAAACTAGTCAAAATGGCTATTACATTATTTCTTTCAGCTGGGATTTTTCTAGTGACTCCAGTAATTTGGAGTCTCTTTCTCTCTCTGTGGCAATGAGGCAGTCTCTTGCTTCCCCAAGAGACACCTTTGCATCTTTAAGCCATTCTCAACTGACTGTGCAGAACTTAGGGGAATGGAGTTAGGTTTTCTCTGTTTATATAGGTCTATATCATAATCTTTAATAAAAATAGAAACATGTATTAATTTTTGAAACACATATTCTACGATTCTTGAAACAACTCACACTCATTTCAGAATGTTGAAAACAATGGAAATGTATTGTGAAAACAGGGCTGACCACTGTTTTGGTTAGGGTTCCTTTTGCTGTGATAAAAAAACCCATGGCCAAAATCAACTTCGAGAGGAAAGTTTTTATTTCAGCTTGCAGTCCCATATCACAGCCCATTGTGGGAAAAATCAGGATGGGACCCCAAAGCAGGAACTTGGCGGTAGGAACTGAAGCTGAGCCCTGGGAGAAAGCAGCTCACTAGCTTGCTCTCATGGCTTGTTCAGTCTGCTTTCTCAGGACTAGCTGCCCAGGAGCGGCACTGTCCACAATGGGCTGGGTCCTCCACATCAATCATGAATCAGGAAAATGCACTATAAGTTTGCCTACAGACCAATCTGATGGAGGCATTTTCTCAATTGAAAGTGCCTCTTCCCAACTGCTTCCTTAGCTTGTATCATGTTGCCAAAACAGAAGAGAGCAAATGAACGAAGACAACTATAGTTAATATTTTAAGAAAACATGAATTTATAAATTTATTGGGATTGTTATACTAGGGTTCTAATTGGATGCTACAAAGTTGTCAACGGATATATAGTTAAAAGTGTTTTTGATTGTGGCAGCCATGAGGATGTTATGAATTAGCCTTTTTGCCCTTCTTAGGTTCTGTCTGTGGAGTTAGTCCTAGGCATGTAGAATGACACTAATGTACCATTTCTGTGAGCACTGGAGCAGTGGTGCCTCACGAATCTTTTTCTGTAAGATTTAATTTTTATGCTTGACCCTGGGTGAAAATGTTGACAAGGACATCTCCAGTTGTGGCTGATCTGGAATGGAAACTCCCTTTGTCTGGAAAGGGCTGCCTTTCTTCTTTCTATTTCCTACCATGAAAGATCAAACTCTATAGGACAGTTGCTTTCTGGACTCTCCCAGTCAAGAGAACGTGTAAAGCTAGGAGAAAATATGTCACTCCCCTACCCTGAAGAACAGTTCTGAGACTGCCAGACCCAAAGCAGAATTGTCAAGAGACAAGGGAAGTAACCTCAGCCTTCCTCCTGGAAAGCCATCTCCAGATACGAAGGGTAAGCCTAAAGAAGTATGTGTCATCTTCAGACCTAATCTGTTCAAAATCTTAAGCAGGGGATTGTGAGAAAGACCACCAAATGATGGAATTTCTTGTACAGGCCATCCCGTTAATGAGCTGAGAAAACTAGAGATGAGAGGAATACCAGCTGATTGATAAATGTGTTCAGAACTGTAAGACCAATTACTGAATAAAATGTAAAATGATGGGCGGCTAAAGGTGTTGGGAAAACTTCATATTAAACTTCTGTTGTAGACAAAATAGGTCAATGCTGTTACCTCAAGGCTTTTCACTATCAAACGACATGCCGAGGGTAAACGCAGGAATACCAGCACTGAGTGATAAGCTCTCAGTCCCCTTGGCCGCCATTACAAAGTGGGAAGAATTTTGAAGTGAAAAACATCAGAAGTTATGATGGACGCTGGCTGGAGGGAAGCAAAGGCCATTGCTGAAAACATCTGACCGATGTGGGTACTGAAACGAAACTGAAGCTACTTCCATTTAAAAGTGTGGATTTGAGTTCATGTGGACTTTGAGAACTGAATAGGACAAAGGATCCAGCCTTTCACCACAAGAATTAATTTAAAAGGGGGGAAATAGCAGTTCCTTATTTCAGAAATTAAGTCCTCAGTATTTACCTGTCACCCTCACGGTAGAACCATTAAGGAACATCTTAGGGACCTCAGCTGTCATGATGGGGACTCCAGCAGGCTCCGCACCTCTCAACTGTTTGCCTATTAAGAGCCAAAACCCAACTCTGTAATTTCCTCTCCATGGATTTTCCAGTGCCTTACGGGTATTCGTTCTGTGTGACAGCATCGTCGTTGGGTACCCGAAAGCCAGAGATAATTAACATTGTTAAAAATCCATGCCCGTAGCCATCTTTCCAGGGCAGGGGATTGCAAACTTGATGAGCTTCTTTACTGGTGCATACATAATTGTCCAATCATAAATTTCAAAAGGAAGAAACATAGTCCTATCACTATGGTGATGTAATGGCTGAAGGTCAGCTCCAGACACACAGCATACCAACCACACTGGGCTCTAGTCAGTGACAGTATTATTTATTTATTTTTCTAAATACCCAGCTTTATGCCTCCTCTCAGAATGCAGATGGATTTGGACGAAGCATCTTGGCGTTTGCTGTGCAGTATTGTACCTTTAAGGTCTCAAGGGATCAAAATCAACAGCACTCAAAAGTGTGTTTCTTGAGAGTCTTGATGGACAAAAACCAACAATCAACTTAAAGTTGTAGCCCAAGGAAGTCCACATCAGGAGGTACATAGGGCTACATGAGTAGAGCATACGTTTAACCACCTACCTATCCAAGCTCCCAACTCTGGCAACTAGATACAGCAGGCTCCCAACGGCAAGGCTTCCCAGCACCAGGAGCTTCTGTCTCAGCCACACCTGCTGTTTGAATAGCATGGCCCTCCATCAACCTTCAGGACTGCCACGGCCTGAGAGCGAAAGAAGGTGCCTATTAGCAATTGTCATGATGCCAACCAGAGGTGGATATAGGTGATTAAGCAACAAAGAGGTTACACATCAACATTGGCAGGTTTTACTCTGAAACTGATTTAGCAAAACTTACCTTCCTTCCTTCCTTCTTTCCTCCCTTCCTCCCTTCCTTCCTTCCTTCCTTTCTTTCTCCCCCCTCTCTCCCTCTCTCTCTCTCTCCTTTTTTAAATGTGACCAGTGCTATGAGATCAATTACTAATTCCTTGGGGAAAATTATACAAAAATTTCTCTGTCTTCTAGAATTTCTGAAACACATAGAAATACATACATACATACATACATACATACATACATACATACACACACAGAAAGGCAGACAGACAGATAGAGGGCAGGTCACCCAAAGAAAGTAGAGAAAATGAGTGGCCTGTGGTTTTATCAGTAAGGCAACTAATTGGAAAATTTCATTTAGAATGAAATTCTGGCTTAATAAATGGTCATTTGGGGAATAACAATGGCATCTTTAGCTCTGCTTTGCTTGTGGATGGAGCAGAGGGGAAGGATCAAACGTGACAGCTTCCTGAGATTATCGGTGGTGAGCGTCCAGCCTGCCTGCGTTTGCAGACACTGGCTCCATGGAGCTCTCTGGGCGCTTTCACATCTCCTCTTAGTCTAGACCACCTTGACTAGGTCATCCTACTGAGTGGCCTCCCCAAGTCCCCAGCGTAACTGAGTGGGTTGGGTGGCACCACGCTTGCTTTTACCTCACCAAAGACGTTTACCTGGGAACTTCTCCTCTTACATAGCCGAAGTGTAGTGTAAGGTTTTACTTGTGCCATTATTACATTCTGGAGGGTGAAAAAAAATACAAGCTCCCAATTCAGACTTCTTATTAAAAGTAAATCCTATCCCCTTTTAAGATAAGATTGTTCGCTTCTTATTGAAACTGAAAATAATAACCTGAAGACGGAAGCAGAGCCCTGGCTAGAAAAGATACCACGGCAAAGGCATCTACACGTTTGTTGTGTGATGATTCCCACCACGCAAAAGGGAAATGCTGGATTGTCAGGCTGACCTATGTGTTCATTTATCAAGAAACTGCTGAGAGCCAACAGCAAGCCCTATTGTTAGAGTAAGCACACAGAGATTTTAAAAAATATTCCGGAGGAGTTTCAGTCCTTGGGCAACTGATCATGTGGTTAGAGAATCATGGAACAACCAGAGAACACAACCCATGTCTCCGTAATGTGTGAATAAATGTTGGTGAAAGAAATTTAAGGAAAACCCTGGGGAACGTGGGCTGCATAAAAATTCAGTCTTTATTTACCCCGGAGATTGTAGATAGTCGTCCAAAGAGAGGCGATAAGAGCAGATAAGGAAGTGTGCCGTGAGCATGGTTCTGTGCTGGGTGCTACAGACAATCTCCGGCAGCTAAACAGACACAGGGCTTACCTACTGGCATCTACTCTGTGGTGCAAACGTCAGATGATAAGTTAACAAGGCCAAGTAGGATTAAAGGGCGCTTACAAACCATATTAAATGTTACAAAGGAAAATCATAGGAGGAAAGAAGTGGCAGGGAGTTTGTGTTCTCCCTGGAGGATGAAGAGTCGAGTGGCATGTTGGGGAGGGGGGCAGGGGGCAGGGGGCAGGGGGCAGGGGGCAGGGGGCAGGGGGCAGGGGGCAAGGTGTGTGAGAGGCAGAAGAGCCACTCTGTCTGGGAGCTGGGGTAGGAAATGCTTGACTTTCGTGCATAGTGTAATCTAGCAAATAAAGCTTGCCTGAAGATCAGAGTACAGAGCTAAGCCACTAGTTAGCTACACACCTAGTTAAGAAGTAAGTCACTAGCTAGCTGTACACACACTAAGCCACTGGTTAGCCACAGAGGACAGGCAGTGCTGGCCACACCTTTAATCCTAGAACTCAGGGGACAGAGGCAGATGGATCCGATGAGTTCAAGGTCACGCTAGGCTACGAGAGAGCAAATCTGTCTACAGGAGTAAAAGAGTTCACACCTTTTATCCCAGCACCAGAGAGGAATATAAGACTCAGTCCGGTCTGAGAGAGCCTGAGGTTTGGTGGTGGAGAGCATGGCAGTCTTCTGTCACTCTGAGGACAGGGTCACCCCTCTTTGGTCTGAGCCTTGGTAGAGGTAGAAACTCTCTAGTGATTGGCCGCTTTGCTTTTCTGATCGTCAGCTTGAACCCCAATATTTCTCTCTGGGCTTTTATTATTGAGACCAATTAGAAGTCATGCCACATTTGTGATAAGGGAAAGCAGCTGGGCACAGGAATTAAGGAGGGGGGGAGAAGGAAGGGTGTCTGTTTCGGAATGGGTGGGTGCACCTGTGGTTCTGACTTATCAGGGCTTGCCTTGTAGATAACAACAAAATAGAAAGAGATAGGGGACAAGAGGGGGTTTACTGAGGACTCCTCTGTGGTCAGCACATTGTCAAGATGCTATTTCCAGAAATCCAAAACGATGCAAAAACTTGTGAAGTAGATGGAGTTTCATAGACGGGTAAAGGGAAGCTCACCATTTTGTCTCCCTTCCCCTGGCTACAAACTTGCCGGCTATCAGGAAGGCAATGGCAGTCAGTACCCATGGCATGCGATTCTGAACTCTTCTGAAAGAACTGCCAGCCTCTCTCCAGGTTGATTCCCACAGACCTGAGAGCCCTGGCCTCTAGCACCAGGCTTTGCGCTCAAAACACAAACCCCGCTGCAAGATGTATGGCAAGGTGGAGGACACCCCAGTACTGGCAGTGAGGTCCTGAGGTTGGAATCCTTGGACCTGCCTTTCCTTAGCCACAAAACTGAACCACAACTGATATGTTGAGGAGGCAAATCAATTAGTTCCAGAAATGCATATTAAAAAGGGAAAAGATAGAATAAATGTAGTTCTCATGAATAGTATAATTGGATTGTGGAAAACATAGGTCCCTTTTAAGTGTAAGTCACTTTTAATGGGATCTCTTATTAAATATCCAAATACCAACATTGGAGTTTTTAGTCCTGTAAGATGGAGGGTGGGGACACCCTCTTACGCACATGTATCACACAGCCAATGCTTGGCTTGCTGAGCTAAACCCTCTTTGAACTTTTGAGGGATGGGGAAGTCTCACCAGCATGTCCCACTAAGGCTCTTTAGAAGAAAGACAGTGACATCGCCTTCTACTTTATATGATATGAGAGCAGTCCCAGAATAAATTTTCCTAAAGAAAAAAAAAAAGATACTGATTTATGGGTCAGGATGCCCTTTTTGTTTGTCTATAGTATCAAGAAGGGTTCAAGAGTCTTTAAAAGTTGAGGTCTCAAAAATTAGGAGTTGTGTCTGTTAGTCTGGGAATACAACAAAATGGTATAGATTCAATCTTTATGGACAATGCTACTAAACTAGATAGAAAGTTAATGATATTTTCATAATAGTTTACTAGAGTAGTTGTGATGGTTAATTTTGGTTGCCAACTTGATTTGATTTGATTTTAACTAAGAGACAAGGCTCTGGGCGATATGTGAGGACATTTGCTGGAAGCACAGGCAGATGGGGAGGGAAGATCCCCTCTTTTGGGATGGCAGCACCTTCTGGAGCCGTTCAGACAGAAAGGTCTGAGTGAGATGCCATGCTGTTTTTGCCTGCCTGCTTTCACTCCTGATGGTAAGTGCATCTACTTTGTTACTGCTCTTACTGACTTCACTAACATGGGAACACAGATTCTTCAGCCCTCTGATTCTGGCTAAAGACAAGTGTCTCCCCAGGACTCCTCTAGAATGGCAGCACCAGATGGAAAATCTGAGGTATGCAGCCACCTGGTCTGAGCCGCTCCCAGGACCCCACAGATCTTCCTTGGCTTAAAGGTTCTCAGCTTCTCTATTATGCAGATAGCCATTGTTAGAATATCTGGTTTGTACTGTGCAAGACAATCTAATAACATCCCTTTTATAATCTATATCTCTTTTATCAGTGCACTCCCTCTATAGAAAACTGGCTAAAACCCTGTTATGTTGGTAACAGGTAATTTATAATGATTCAAAATGTAATGTATTTTTATGTGCCTACAGTGATATGTAAGCCTTTACTTGTCTTTTGTTTTTCATCTCTTGGTGACTCATTTTGTGTTTCAAAAACAACACAGTTACAATTTCTCCCAACCAGCAAAACTTCCACCGACATGGTGTATTAGCTGAACACAGTTGAGTATCTACAGGAGAATACATGGCCAGAAACAATAAGCTGTAGAGACATCTGGCTGTTTCAGTAAAAACAGCACTCAGCAAAGAAAGAAACAATTCCCAAGCTACAAGAAAGATATGAGCGGGTTCAGAAATAATAATGATACAGATATGTTCAAGCTTTGCTCAAAGGCTTGGAGACACGGGTCCTGCAAGACCCTGGCAGCAGGAATAACAATAATGGGAATGATAGCAACAGAGTTCATTAAAACAGCTGAACTTCGGCGGCAGAATTACCGCTGGAAAATTACAGCCCTCTTTTGAGTACTAGCTCAGTAGTCCCAGGAAACAGCCTTCAGAGGCAGACAAGATGCGTTGTCTATGGGCACCAGGCTCTGCTCTGTTCACATTTATTTTCGTCGTAATGCAGCAGGCTTGTAAAGTACAAGCTGTTTTGTTTTATTTTTTGGATGGATAATGAGGAACAGAGAGATGTGCAGATTACTAACCCAGGGGCATGTGCTAGCACATGCAGAGGGAGAATTTAAACTCAGAGTTATGTGACCTCAAGGGACAGGGTTCCTTGACTATAGCACGGTTAAACCCCCCCCCCCCCAGATGCTCACCCGTGAGACGCTTGGTAAACTGTTATTCACTGACGGACCGTGCAGACAAAAGAGAATCTCCCCTAATGATATAACTTGTCCTTGAAACCCGAGGCAGAGGATGAAGAGGAAGAAAAACTGAAGAAAAAGTTTCTATGGTAAACAATTGTGTCGTTTCAACCCTACTACAGGGGGAGAAAGCGATGGCAGAGGAATGAATGGA